AAAATTTTGTTTTGATCAAAATCAAAATAAACAAACCAAACACGCATTTATTTGGTTTGATTCAAGTAACAATGTCCAGAACGTTACATAACTGTGGTTTATACAGTCACATGATATAATCGATATAAAATAGTTTCCGAAAGATATCATGCGGAGACTTTTGGCGGGGGTCTGTATATTTTAAATAAAGATAAATATCTTTTTTATGATTGAAAAAATACATTGTAGAATAAATTAACAAAAATAATTGTTACAAGTATTTTTATGTAATATTTGTGTTCACTAATATTTTGTCATCTTATATAGAACATAAATACATAATATTTTTTTATAGTTAATATTTCAGATAAAAAAAAATCGTTAACATAAAATAGATCAAATTTAAATAATAGATTATACAATATGATGTAGTTAAATTTGACTAAATAAATTTAGAATATTATTTCAGATTTACATGTTTGGGCCTTTAAATTTACTTGGAAGTGCAAAAGTTAATTTATTCAATTTAATATTTAGTATTACACAAATCATTTATCTATTCGAATAGAAAGCAAAGCATGTGACAAAAAGATTTAGACCATTTAAGACAAAAATAATATAGGTTGTGAGTATATGTGATCAAAACAACACACAACTTTCCATCCATCCATTCATCCATTTATTCATACAATAATTTTATTCTTCGCATCATTATTTAACAAAATTATCCTTATTTATTTTATTGATAAATATTCTAGACATTCGTTTTTTTAAATTTCTTAAATAATTCATATATAAATTATACTATCAACAATCAATTATCGAAACAGATTTTTATTTCAATCTACACATTTGGATATTTATATACATTTTGATTTAACAAAGACGGTTTAATAATTAAACAGTCTTTGAATTACTTTCATCATCATAGATTTTTATATATCAATAAATCCATCCCTCTCTCTCAAAAAAATAAGTTTTCTTTTATTTAATAAAAAAATAAAATAAATGATATTATATTATATGAAATAAATGAATTATAAATCATACCGCGTATCCCTTTTAAATCCTTTTACATGACTTTGCTTGATTCTTTCATAAATATTTACCTATAAAAAATTATCAATATAATGTATTTACTCAATATATACTTAATATATACTTTACTTATAGACCAAAATGTATAGAAATGATGACAGATGATGGTTGGTTCAATTTCGGTTCTTTCAACGGCTCTTCAAACTTATTGAGGTAGATAATCATGAAATCCTCCAATATATTTTTTTTTTTTGATCAGTTGAATGAAATTATACACAAATATGATTTTACAACAATGTCGCTTTGGATTTTCGTCGTTATTCTTCCCAAAAGTTCAAAATGGATTTAGAAAATGCGTTACAGTTCACATCAACGATAATATAGTTGTATCGCGTTTGTCTTTTCAACTCCAGTTTAGCTCACTTCGATCTAAATCTCTTCGTTCTAAAACAGCACACACTTTACCAGTAACGAGGGGAATAGCAGCTTCCCGTTTTCCAATTTTCAGAAATACTCAAAATAATAAATTTCTTACTATTATTAACCATAATACATTTTTTCATTCATTTCTTAGACAGAAACAACGACTTATACATATACCATCATATCCACCAATAAAACGTCAACAAACAGCATTTCAAATAGCATTTAAGCAAGCGGGAAGAGAATTTGTTCGTTTTTTAACATTTTTATTTATAAGTTTATTATCCATACTAATTATTGGATTATTATCATGGAGAGGATATCATTTTTATATTGAACATTTTTTATATCCAACACCTACAAAATTATCACGTCCAGCGAGGGATTGTTTAAGAGGAGCATTTATACGCACAAACATATCGCCTGATTCACATACAGCAGAGATTTATTTAAGACAAGCATTACAAATTATACTTGAAAAGGATAAATTAGAACTAAACGATCAAATTATTATTGATATTCTAAAATCCTTAGGGGATAATTATGTGTGGAGGGGAAATTTAGAAGAAGCTATCTTGCAATACAGACAAACATTGGAATTATTATTACAACAACACCAATCAAGAGAAGGAAAAGAAGATTTGAGTGAAGTGATTAATATTGCAAAGAAATTGGGAGATTTATATATTAGGATTCAAGAATATAATACAGCAGAAAAATATCTCGTGTGGGCAATTGGGTTATTGCAAGGAAATGTTATTGAATTATTAAATGAAGATGATGAAGTATTAGAAAATACCTCAATATTTACGAGTTCTTCATTAATTAACAAAGATTTTATAGCGATCACAGATTTACTTGCAGGCTTATATGCAAAACAAAGAAAATATGATTACGCTTTACCACTTTATTTAAGTTTATTAAAGATGATTCAAGAGAAAGAAGGTTTGAAATTGAAATGTTGGGAAGCTATAATTAATGGTCACATAGGAGAAATTTTTTATGCTATGGGAAAATATGATGAAGCTTTGGGTTGGCTACAAGAAGGTTTATCTAAAGCTAAAAACGATGATGGAAACAGAGATTGTGATGAATGCGCGGGTGTCATTCTTAATAATCTTGGGTTAATACATGAAAGAAAAGAAAATAATGAATTGGCCGTTTCTTTATATATTAATGCTATAGGATTTGCTGAAAAAGCTCAAGATTTTATTGGTATCGAAGATTTTACCAGAAATTTGAATCGTGTGCAAACACAAAAAGAAAAGGTAGTAAGTTCTGAGCAAGATAATTCCAAAGAAACGAAATAATCATGTAATAATTATCCTCTATAAATAAAACGTGCATTTCCATAAATGGATTATTAAATTATTAATAGAATGGGGAAATTATGAAAGGGTTATTTAATTCTCAGAACATGATCATATGTACAGGAACGGTTTTAATTATTAGTTATTACTAAATCCGTACATTACGTTTCACAAATTCCAAGGTATGATGTCAATAAATCATGGCAATGAATCATGGCAATGTAGTGATCGTTCATAATGGCCCCTTACCTTTATCATTTATACAGTGTCATTGGTAGAAATTATGATTTATTAAATATATTAAATATCAACGCAATTAAAGTCCATTCGAATTTTTTTTTTTTTTTTCTTTTTTTCAAAAATAAAGAAAAGGAAAAAAAGGAGAATTAACGAATTTAATGAGTATTTATCTTCTTTTAATTTATATTAAATAACGGAAAAACATTACGATCATGGACAATACTAATCAATTACGAGAATTATTTGGACCAAGAAGTTACTCGAACAATAATGTTATTAAATCAAAGGCTCCATTATCTGTTAATACAGCTGTTTTAAAGGAGTCACATCAAAACTATAGTGTCGCTTCTCCTTCTTCTCCTTCACCCTTTGTTCGACGAACATTGTTATCTAACGCGCGTCAGTCTTGGATATTTAATAAGCCTCCCTCAATTCCTGAGGCCGAAAGCGTTTATGTTCAACCAACTGCTATACTTGAAAAAAATTTGGGAACTGCAAAATCAAGATTATCAGTTATTATTCAAGGTGGTATTAATCAACAACAATATGGAAGAGTAATGACTAATAGTATATATATTAAAACTGAACAAGACAAAGAATTGGTTAGTTCTTCTCCTACAATAAACAAAGCTTCAGAGATCGAAAATTCAATCGATGATATACCGTTGCCGTCTCTATTACCAACAACACCATTATCAAGTAGACCTATATCTAATGTTTCTTCATCATCTACAAATCAATATAATAGTGAATATGATGCATCATCAGATTCGTATTATTCTTTATCATCTTCATTTGCATCCAATTCTATAATTACGAACAATCGTGATAGTATGTCGGATACAGTCTCAATGTTTAGCAATTCACCTTCAATCTTAAATGATCATCATAATAAACAATTTTATAATAATGCTCCTCAACCTTCTTCCGGTATACCTTATCATCGATATTCTATGCCTTCTTCTTCAAGAGAATTAACTTCACAAAATAGTCCTAATCAATATATTATTGAACCTCAAAGACGCGCTTCAATGCCAATATTATCTAACGATATTGATTCATCAGATATAATTACATCTCCAATAACTCCTGTAATTTTGATTGACGATGATGATGATGAAGATGATGATGATGATGATGATGATGATGAACAAGGTGAACTAAAAGAATTGGAAAGTACCATTAATATTCGCGCTTCCTTTTCTTATAATACGTCAAATGAAAGTTCATCTGTACAGCGCGCTACTTTGCGTCCCAGTAGATTATCATCGCCTGCTAATGCCAAACTTGCTCAAAGAGCCTCAAGAGCATCCATGAGAATGAGCCTTAATAATTTAATGCAAAAACGTTTTAATATCGCTTTGGAAATATTGACTACCGAGCGTCATTATGTTGATTGTTTACAGCTTGTCCAAAGGGTATGAAAATATTAATTTTATACAATTTAAATGTAATTCCATTAATTAAAAATAATTATCTTCTCTTTATTAATTCATTACAGTTGTTCCTAAGCCCTTTGAATAAATCATTGTCATCGGCTAATCCAATACTGACCAAAAAGTCAATCAATGAAATATTTGCAAACCTCTCTGATCTAATTAATGTTAACACAGAATTATTGAAAAGATTGGAAGAGAGGATTGCTATACTCATTGATGATAAACCAATTGAAGATTCTGAGGATAAATTTTGGAATCCTGAAGATGGTTGCCTAGGAGATATTTTCTTGAATATGGTTAAATATATAAATATTTACTTATTTATGCATTTTTTAATTGCTGTAATATTAATCCTTTAATTTAAAATAAAAAATTTAGGCACCATTCTTTAAGATGTATTCGATTTATGTTAAAAATTTCAATTGTGCTCTTTCCGTAATTGATGTTCAACTGAGAGATAATCCAGCATTTTCCGCTTTTCTAAGGGTATGCATTGGTCAATTTAGTTTTTTTCTATGAATGTCTTTACATTTTTATTTATTCATTATTATAGGATGTTATCAAGACAGGACAGTGTAAAGGACTTACCTTACAAGCGTATTTGATAATGCCAGTACAACGGATACCTAGATACAAATTATTGTTGGAGGATCTGTTAAAGAAAACAGTGGAAACTCATCCAGATTATCTTAATTTAAAGAAAGCTTATCAAGTTATTGAAAACGTTGCCACTTTTGTCAATGAAACTATTCGACAGCATGAAATGTTTATTACTATGTTGGATATTCAAAAATCATTGACAGGATTTGATGAAGTATTATTGGTTCCAGGTCGTACTTTTATTAAGCGAGGAACCGTCAAAAAGGTATCGAAATATTCGTTAGATATACTATTTATAAAATTTATATATTGATGTTAATAGGGATTTCCTTTTCATAGATTTGTCGACGAAATCATCAGCAACGTGAATTTTTTTTATTTTCAGACATTTTGATCTATGCTACTCCTAGTTTAATGGATGATACTTATACTTTTCATCGAAAGTTCAATCTCGAAGATGTAACAGTTTTAGTAGTTGATACTCAAAGTAAATTAATGTTCAACTAAGTTTATATGTATCTACTTAAATATAATTTAATTTACCGACCTTTTTTTTTTTTTTATTTATGACAAGATGTTAATGGATTTCTGATAATGAGTCCTCAAAAGAGTTTTACACTTTATGCAGGTTAGATATCATTATTCGGCATGATTATTATCTATAATTAACTAATTGAATTTTATGTATGGGTTTTTAGACACACAAAAAGATAAAGAATCGTGGATCAACGCGATTCGTGATGCGAAGGAAGAATATTTAAGCGCAAAAAGAACACTCAAAATTGGTATGTAATTCATTAACCATTACTTTAATCTATTTACTATCATTAATTCTATTATTATTATTAAGATAATCATGTGGGATTGGAAAGGAAGGATTCATACAAAAAGAGAATTGTGGATAATTATCATGCACCTGTATGGATTCCAGATTCAGAAGCTGATCGATGTATGAATTGTTCGGAAGAATTTTATACGATATTTCGAAGAAAACACCATTGTCGAGTGTGTGGAAAAGTTGTTTGCCATGCTTGTTCTACAAGGGTATATCTCTTAATTCTACATAATGAAGCCATATATATTTTTTAGAAATTTAATATTGTAAAACTTTTATATAGAAATTTGTTATTCCTGGTTCTAGTGAACGAGAAGATCAGTCGGCACGTGCATGCGACCATTGTTTTTTCACAATGTTTCCTGATGCTTTAAGAGATGAGGATATAGCACCCGGTATTCATGTATGGAACCTTGTCGGTAATAGAAGCACAATTTCACTTGTTGAATCTCCACAAAAAGATGATGATATTAAGGAAAAAGATAAAGTATTTAATATGTTTGAGAACAATCGAGCAAGCGTAGCATTATTTTCGGTGAGTTACAATATAGAATTTATTTATTAAGCCAAAATATATTAATTTTTCAAAAAAAATATTTAGATCAACAAATCTCTTCGTGATGCTATCGAAGCTAAACGCTGTGACCATTGCAGAGTTGATTTCACTGTATTCAGATGGAGGGTAAGTTATAAGAACTAATATATGCTAATCTATATTTCTGAAATTATTCATTGTGGCAAACCGATTTTAATTTAAATTATTGACATTTAATCTTAAATACTTTTTCAATTAGAATGAATGTTTGAAATGCAAGAAAATTGGTAAGTTATACGTGAATGTTATATAATAAATTTTTTTTTTTTTTTTTTTTTTTGAAATTCTCGGCTCATTTTCTTTATCCTGGTTACCATCCTAGTTTGTAATGAGTGTCTTACAAAGAAATCGATTGATTTTTCATCATTACCTCAAGAATTTTTGGATGAAATATCATCACAGACAATTGAGAATAGACGATTTAGCGTTATGTCAAATGCTATAAAAATATGTGATTTTTGTTATCTAGGTAATGTAACTTCAAATGATTAATATCTTAGTTTTCATACGCTAAATTTTTATTGTATTTATTTGATAGGTATTGATCCTAATCGTATTACAGTAGATGAAGAAACAGATGGTGGATGGTCTGCAAAAGGACAGATTTCTCCGCCATCCACACCAAAACTATTTAAGTCAGAAACAAGTAATAACGTTCAAGCTAACGATGGTGAAACATTTAAGCAATCAAGTTTTGATGATAAAGCGATGAATGTTAATAAAGTTGAGGGCCATTTTAATAAAGTCATGATAGAAAAAGAACAATGAAAGATAGAATTATTAGTTTAAGTTATATGTAAATTTTTTATATATTTATTTGTAATTTTATATATTTAGCTTAGTAATTTGTACAAATATTTTTTTTTTTACTTTAAAGACAAGCTTATTTTTCTTAGTATTCAGTTTGTATATATAATATATAATCGATGTATTAATTATTTGTATTAATAAAAAAATATATTTACTGTATATTATATTTATATTATTTAATAATGCATTTTAAAGGTTATATTTATTTATATTGTATACCGGATGAAGTTGATGAACCATCGTACTGTACTTTGAAGATAAGTAATTACTATTAAAAGATTCTTCTTCATATCTATAATAATTTCAACAGAAAATAGAATAAGTATTGCCTTTCTTATATGGATTTGCTAACATTTTTTATTTTATTAAGGAGAATCAATAAATTTAAGTTAAATATTTGATGCAAAAGCTTTTCAATACAGAGTAAAAAATTTTTAATAAATTGGTTTGATTTTTGTATATTACTGTGATCTAATATGAATCTAATTTATTTCTATATTAATCAAACAAATTTGTTTTAAAGATATTGGGTTATCCTTTTAATATAAAGTTATACAAATTATAAAAACATAATCTATATTTTTGCATAAGGTATTTTACTTAATTCATATGAATTATGAGTCTTAATATCTTATATTAAAACTAATATTTAATTTTTAATAAAGGTTTCAGAATAAGTAAGTTTTGTATAATGGTTCAAGATTTTCTATAGAATAAATTACTAATATAAATATAAATTATGTAAACAGTTTAAAACAAATGTATTTGGACATGATATAATTATATTTATAGTTATTAACTAACTTCTAATCAGAAAGTGTGATTCTATATTCTCTAATAACTTTATAATAATATGTATCTATATTCAGTATTAGTAAATAATTTTGAAATGACCTTGAAATAACCTCAAATAACCTTATTATAATTATAAATTTTAAGTCAAAAGACCTTTTAATTTGCTAATCCTACCTGTGTTATTTAAAGTATTTTTTTAAATTGTATTTTGATAATTATAAAAGTATTATATTTTAGATCTATATTAATTAAAATAATATAAAAATATGATTTTTTTGTATAATATTTTTTTATTAAAAAAGCATTTACAATTGATTCTCTTTATAAATAATCCAATTTATCAAATTTTCAAAATATTAAATATTAAACAAAATTTGATTTAATTCTACTGATTATTACCAAAAAATTTAGCATATTTATATAGTTAAGTTGTCTAATACAATATTACTTGATAAAAATCATTATTAATAATTGATAATTATTTAAATAAATAGCAAATCAGCTATTAATTAGCATTTAACATTAAATCAGCCTAAAATTGATCTAAAATTAGCTTAAAATCAATTATAAATCATCAATCAACTATTTATAAAAATCAAAACTAATAAATGTTTATTTATTATTTATTAATTTATAATTTTACATAATTAAATTACTCAAAAGAATATATTGTAATATTTATAAAAAATATATTTGATTTTTTAAAAATAAGAAAAATAAAGAAAATAGTTATAAAACTATCAAAATATACTTTTAATTTAATTATCTTGATGTATTTCTAAAGAAATTAAATAAAAAAATAAAAAAACAGTTAAAAAATTATCAAATAATTACTTTTGATATACTTATCATTAGAGCTCCGAACAGGTTGGGTCAGACATAAAATTGATCTGAATTAAATATACATTTGACCTGACCTGACCTGTCTAAAAAAGGAAACTAAACAATTA